GCCTTCCTGGAGCAGCAGCAGCGGGTCTCGCTCGGGCGGGCGTCCGCCTGCCTCGAGGCCCGCGGGGGAGGCCGGGGGGGGCGCATGCAGGGCCGCGTGCAGGGCTGCCGGCGGGGGCGCAGCGACAGCAGTCGGGGGTCTTGGGACAGGGGCCGATGCAAATCCAGGATCCTTCGGGTCAGGAAAAAAGTAGGACGGGAGGTGTTTCCCAATTCCTGGCTTCTGGGGGCCTTCGCCGAGCCTCGGTACCGTCGACAAACGATTCGGGATGAAAAAACCGGTCCGGGGGAATGGGTCGAGACCTTTGGGAGTCGACGCGATGAAAAAGTCATGACGTCGGGTTTCAAGAAACGGTGTCAATGCAAACGGGGGGTCAGTCAGAGCGCCAGATTTTGCAGAATCGTGCAGAGCGGGGGTTGCACTGACCTGGGCTTGGGTGCAGGACCCTGTAGGATCTTGCAGGATCCTGCAGGGCCCGACTGGCCAGGGTTTGGATTGACTCTGGTCAGTGCGTCCCCGATGGAGCAGAGGAGGAAGTATAGTGCCTTTCGGATGGGGTCTGAGTAATAAATGTCGGGGAGACGTAAGGTTCGAGTGCGCCAGGGCTCGAGGTTGCCGACGCTTTTTGGCGAGCGTGTGGGCTTTGACGATCCAGTTTTTGCGGGTGTCTGCCGCGGAGGTTCGCGTCAAATTTCAGATTGGCTCTCAACATTTTCATTATGGCCCCGTCAGACCAACCCGAGTCCCCCGAACCCGAGTCCTAGTTACGTCTCCCTGGAAATGGGGTCGAAGAATGGCGCCGCATCGGCGATGCATCGGCGATGCGGCAGGATGGCACGATGTCGAGCCTGATTCTGTCCACGTCGGCGTCGCCGCCTCATCGCCCATGCATCGCCGACGTCGCCGATGTATCTGCGATGCATCGCCGATGCGGAGCGATCCCTCGACCTCAGTTCTTCGGGCACCATTTTGGAGGCCTCTCGGAAGGGATCTCTGGAGGGTATGAAGAGGGGTTGGAAGAGGAGGACCAGGAGGGGGGCGAAGGAGGTGGAGAAGGAGGACGTGAGAGAGGAGCGGATGGGGAGAAGCCCGAAGTTCGAAAAATCATGCGGGATGGTCAGGGCACCCGCCAAGCTACCCCGACTCCAGGCCAGACTATCTCACTTTGCTTGCGAAGGGCTGCATGGTTGGATTCTCGTCGAACTTTGACCTCACCGAAATCTCCGCCAACCGATTGTCCAGGTCGGGTTCTCGTCGAATTTTGACCGCCACGGACATCTCAGCCAAACGATTGTCCGCCGAATAGAATCGAGCCCGCATCTACCAATCACTATTGGTGTGCTGCTTCAAGGAAAGATGCCATGCCTGCTGGACGGGCTCGCTGCAGGCGCTTAAACAGTCCGTCGGCTACCTCCAGGCCTGCGACTCCATTCTACAAGATCGTGGGGCTCCTCCAGGTAGGTTCAAGTCGGGCCTGTCCCTCCACAGGCGGAATCTTCATATAGTCTGGGGACGAAGTGGTAAGTAGTTGTGAGTCGGTCTGACCAGTTTTTGGGTATTTGAGATGTGTCGTCCAACGTCCCCCTGTAGGAGGACATGTCCGACCTGAAGGTAATCCAGATTTCGTAATAAAAGGGAGGGGGTCTGGGCCCTCCAAGACAAGCCATTTCAGACCCCCCCCCCGTGGGAGAACCCTCCAAAACATCGTCCCCAGACCCCCCCAGGCCCTCCAAGATAGCCTGGAAGAGACCCCCCCCCGAAATGAGAACCCCCTCCCTTTATTACGAAATCTGGAGTATTTGAGATTTGTCGTCCAACGTCCCCCTACAGGAGGACATGTCCGACCTGAAGGTATGTCTCTGCATGCCGAAGCCACGCAGGACTCGCCTTGCCGAGCTCAGCAGCGAGCGCCCGTCGCTTCTGTGTTCTGCACCCCAAGGCCACGCCGAGTTCGAGGCCTCTTTGGGGAGGAGGGCTAGGTGAAGGGGGGCCTTTCCGTTCGAAAGTGTTCTAGCGGTCCACAGAAGGGGTTCGCTCATGCTTTTCGCTTTTTTCGGGGATTTGAGTCGAAGCACAGAGGAGGAGGAGGAGGAGGAGGAGGAGGAGGAGGTGGAGAAGGATAATTGTAACGAGGAAGAGGAGGAGGAGGAGGAGGAGGAGGAGGAGGAGGAGGAGGAGGAGGGGCCTGTTTTCTAATCGGAAGCTTGGGTGGAAACGCACGAGTGCACACGGGGCGTGGGAATCGCTGGGCGGGCGTTCGAGTTAATCCCTCGACCTCCGCGGGTGGGAACTCCAGGGTGCAGCGCTGCTCCTTCGTCAGCACGAGCCCTGCCCTTAATGTCTCTTGGCGTTATGTCGAATTACACGAGATTGCCCCGAATTTCTTCAATCACGTCGGGGGGGGGCGTCAACCCCGCCGACAGCCCCACTTCGACCCCCGTCGCTGGCAGCCGCCGCTCGCCGAAGGCGCTCCGAACCCCGTCGCGGCGCGACGACGAGACGAGGTTGACCCCCCGTCGGGGGGGTACCCCCCCACGTTTATTGGGAAACCTAGAGTCGTCCAAAGGCCTGGCACGTTGTTCACGTACTCCATGGTCTTGCCGAGCATAGCGGCATCATCGCTGGCATGTTTGGTATACCGGTCGCAGGGCAGAGCGACACCGCATGCAGCGGCGGCGCGTCAGCCAGGACACGATGCAGCGGTGATGTGTGTTCGTGGCATCGCTCGGACGAGTGTTTTTTTTCTCGGCGGGGATCCCTGAGGAGCATCCTGGATTATCCTGCGAAACAAACATCGGGGGCGGAAAAGAGGGGGGTGATGACTAGGGGGGGGTGGATATCATGGCGGGGGCCATGATATTTCCCCAGATGTTATAGCGCCTCTTCTTGTTTCATTACGTCCCTGGCCCCCCCGCTGGGCCGCGCACATGCCGCCGGTCATGATTTGCACCCCCCCCTCTTGGACACCCCCCTCTTTGCCGCTCCCGAAAACAGGTAATTGTCGTCCGAGCGATGGCCAGTGCTCTTCTGCGAGGAGGCCTCCCTCCTGCTCGTCGGCTCGGCTCGGGGCCGCCCGCGCGCCGCCATCCGAGCTCAGAGGAGGGCCCGCCGCGTGCCGAGACTGCGAACTCGGCCCCCCGCGCCTGGTAGCCTCGCTTTCTTGCCCAGGGGCCCGCCGAGCCCTCCTCCTCCTCCTCCGCCTCCTCCTCCGCCTCCTCCTCCTCCGCCTCCTCCTCCTCCTCCTCCGCCTCCTCCTCCTCCTCCTCCTCCTCCTGGGGGTGGACCTAAGCGGTGTTTGGGCGATTTCTTGGGCCGTTTTCGTTTCGATGTCGTTTTGCGTTAAGGGCGGATTGAAGACAGAACGAGGGAAAACGAGAACGACACGAAAACGAAAAACACCGTTTAGGTTCAGCCCTGATTTGGAAGACTTCGTCTGATGCTCCTCGACTCATACATCATCGGAGGTAACAGTTGTGTGTGTGTGTGGGTGTGGGTGTGCCGACGGTCCAGGGCAGACGTTGGCCGGCCAGGGACGGCGCGATTAGCAGGATGATGAAGGGGAAGACGGAAGAGGGAGGAGGAGGAGGAGGAGGAGGAGGACGAAGACCAGGAGGACGAAGAGGAGGAGGACGAAGAGGAGGAGGACGAAGAGGAGGAGGAGGAGGAAGAGGAGGATTCTGCTACGTTCGAAGAGGGAGGAGTAGGAGGAGGAGGAGGAGGAGGAGGAGGAGGAGGAGGCGGGGGCGGAGGCGGAACACAGGGATAGGCGGGAGGGCCGCATGCCGAGGCAGGAGAGGACAGACGACGGGGAGGCAGAGGATAGAGAGGTTTGGAAGGAGGGTCGAGGAAGATGGTGTGGACGACGGGGGAAGTGGTGTGGAGGTGGAGGAGCAGGGAGCAGGGAGGAGGGACAAGCAGGAGCAGAAGGAGGAGGAGGAGGAGAAGGAGGAGGAGGAGAGGGACGCGGCGGGGGAAGCAGCAGTTTGGATGGGGAGGCGGACATCTGAAGGAGGGGGGGCTGGGACGGATCGATTGAATTGATGGATGGATGGATGCAGGCGGGGGGGATTGGATGAGGGAGTGAACGAGTACCCCGAGGGCGACTGCGACGGATGAACTGCATGGCAGAGGCTGTCATGAAGGAGCAGAGGAGGCACAATCGGCAATGGTGCAGCAGGAGGTGCAGAAGCGGCAGGGTGTCCCTCCGTTCCTCCCTCCTCACCCCCATTCCCCCCCCCTCCTAGCCATTCTCCCTCCTCGCCGCCCTCCCTCAGTCGCCCCTCCCCCTTCCTCCCACCCGCGCGCGCGCGGGACCGCAGTGGCCGAGGGGCAGGTCCTCTTCAGACACGCCGCCCAGGGCCCCGACCGCATGTCCACTAAGCAGCTGCACATGACGGTCCCTGTGAGGGGGGGGCGGCACGGCGGCGAGGAGGGGGAGGAGCAGGAGCAGGAGCAGGAAGACGACGACAAGTGGGAATGCGATAGGGCATGTACGGAATTAGGAGAGACCGGGAGGCGGACTAGGTGGAACAGGAGGAAGATAAGTTTGGAATGAGGGAGGGCGATGAGGAGTGCGTGGCCGAGGAGGAGGAGGAGGAGGAGGAGGAGGAGGAGGAGGAGGAGGAGGAGGGTGAGACAGGGGAGGAGTAGCAGGAGGAGGAGGACGGGGGAGGAGGAGGAGGAGGAGGAGGAGGAGGAGGATGGGAGGAGGAGGAGGAGGAGGACGGAGGAGGAGGAGGGTGAGAAAGGGGAGGAATAGCAGTGGAGGAGGAGGAGGAGGAGGAGGAGGAGGAGGAGGAGGAGGAGGAGAGGAGGAGGGGGAGGGCCTGGGAGAGGCGAGTGGGGAGGGGAAAGGCCCCCGCCCTGCCCCCTGGCATCTCGGACATCCTCCTCTCCTCTCGGTCCCTCCCCCTCTCGTGGGTCCCGCTCTCCCTCTTCCTCTCCCCTCCCTCCTCTTCGCCCTTCCCTCGCCGCGTCCACCCCCCCCCGCCGCTCTCCCTCTTCTCTCGTGCCTCCCTCCCCTCCTCCCTCGCCCCCCCCCCACCTCACGCGTCCCTCCCCCCCCTCCCCCCCCCCCTGTCTCGCTTCGCTCCCCCCCCCTCCCCGCCCATCCCCCTTGCCCCCCTTCCGCGCTCCCTCTTCCCCCCCCCCCCCCGCCGCCTCTGCTCCGCCATCTCCCCCCTCCCTGCGCGCCGGGCGGAGGGGTGGACCAGTGCATGACCCCGCCGGCTGTCGGCGTTGGGGGAGGGGGTTAAGAGGGGTAAGGAGGGGACAGGGCGGGGAACAACGGGGGGCGGTGGGGTTAGGAGAAGGAATGAAGAGGGATTATGAGGAGGAGGAGGAGGAGGAGGAGGAGGAGGAGGAGGAGGAGGAGGAGGAGGAGGAGGAGGAGGAGGATGGTGTGTGAAGTGATGATAGAGTAGGGGGTGGAAGAAAGGAGGAGGGGGGGTCGAGGAGCTCAGGAATTAAATAGGAGGGAGGCTGCAGCGGGAATTAGGGAAGATGGTTTGAAAGGGAGGAAATTGGGTGGCCTTGCGATGAAGGAGGGCGAGGTGTATGGGGAAGGGGAGATGTGGGCAGGGGACGGGGGTGATCACATTGGGGAGGGAGAGGCAGGAAAAGGGAGGACGATTCCGCAAAGGTGTACCTGACTGTGCAGTTCGCGCTGTATGGCTTTGTGGATAAGGAGGGGCGGACATGTGCAATAATCTCTACTTTCCTTTTCATGCTGACGGCTGCGGCTTCTCGCGGAAGTGGCCTTGGATGCCGTCGATCAGTCTTCCCTCCACACCGCTGGTTCACAATGTCGCTTCATACCCAATCAGTGACCGTTGAGACTCTTCTACGGGTATTGACGCTTCGCGTGCACACGCTACACTATCCAGAAATTATTCTCAGGTCAATTCTTGTGAACAGCATTGCGGAGGAGCATCAGTGAATGAACAGGAGGGCAACCGACAGACCGAAGCTGGGGTCAGCCCGAGTGCACCGCAAGCGATGGCTCATTCGGGGATCTCCGGGGGCCACTTGTAGTCATAGTCCTCGTGGGCCGCTCGGTATGGGACGACCTCCAGGTCTCGTACGTTCAGTGGTGATACTGCCGGTCTTCCCTCCACTTCCTCCTCCTCCAACTCCTCATCTTTCACACGTTTTCTTTTGTGATTGTCGTTCATGACGTGATGCACACATTGTCGCCGCGGGGTTAATCAGAGATTGCCCGCGCAGCGTTTCGCCGACGTGTCCTGCCCCTCGTGGGCCTTGCTAGACGGGACTTCACGCTTCACGCTCCTCCTCCTCCTCCTCCTCCTCTTCCCTCCTCCTCCCTCCTCCGGGTCTGGCGGTGCCTTTTCTGACGACGTCAGGCGACGTCGCGTCGGATCTGGCCTCGCGGCCCTCCGTTGGAACCCTCCCTCGGCCTCCTGGACCCTCCACGCGGGCCTCCTTGCCCCCCTCCCAGGCCCCCGCCAGACCGTCCCAAGAGGAGAATTATATGCGTTTTGCCTGGCACTAGAGACGTGCCATCAGGATTTCACGTTTGTTACCGATCACCTAGCCTTGCAGCGTGGTTGGCAGAATGGCAGATGTCTCAGGCCAGGCAGCCTCGGAGGTAAGAATAAGAATGGAGATCTCTGGCTGAGAATTCGGCATCTCGTGCAGGATCGACCTTGCGGCGTCTCCTCGGTCACGGTGCTCTGGACCCCATCTCATGCCGATCCCCAGACTCTTCACGGTTTTCAGAAATTCCTAGCTCTCGGCAATCAGCAAGCCGATGAGCTTGCGGGAAGCGCGGCCCACAAGTCGGCCACCCTTGCCCTCCCGCCTGTGCCCAGGGCTGACGAATACGATGCTATCGCAGCGATTGTCCGACAGCGGGCACGACTAATCCTACGTTCCTTAGGAAAGAATTCAGAGCCTCGAGGACTGTGGCCAGAGAGGCAACCCACGCAGGAGGCAGCCCCTCGTTCTCTGTTGCAGACCGCGATCGCGGCTTCACAGCACAAATTCGAGCGGTGTGCAGACAAATGGCGATGCTTTGCCTGCCTCATCATCGTCGATGCTTGCCAGGTTATTCCAGCCGCCGCCACGGAGTGTGTACCGCCTTGCCCCCTTCCCGAGTTTGCTGCGTGTGGCGAGGTGCTGTGGTCGAGGGGTCCCCGTGTGATCAGTGGCAAGGCGATACACCCCTCCCACACATTGGCCACCATCCCCAAGTGGCAAATGTTCTTCTGCGTGAAGTGCGGCCATACGGCCACACACCAGGTCAAAAGCTTACAGTTCCCTTGCCCTCTCACCCACCAAGTGGGAGAGCGCAGGGCCCTGGGACCCACTGGCAAAGGCCTCGAAAACCTCAGCAGGATCAGGCGAGGCCTCCATCCGTCCAGATCGGGTCCCAGCAAGTCTGTTCTAGAGGCTATGCATGTTTCGGCAGCCGAAGCCGCGATCGTTTCTCACGCGGCTGGCGCTGCCTCTGAGTAAATTGTGAGGCCAGGGGGGCCTGTCGCGGTGTGCCGTGGGATGTCGCCCCCCACGGCTCTCCGAGAAATTATGGATGGCCCCCCTGGCGTCTCTGGGTTCCCGAACGGACTACGTCCGATTGCTCCACTCCACTCCTCCTCCCTCCTCCCTCCTCTTCTCCTCTCTCCTTGTCCTCCTCCTCCTCCTCCTCCTCCTCCTCCTCCTCCGCCTCCTCCTCCGCCTGCTCCTCCTCCGCCCCCTCCCGCCCCTCCTCTTTTCTCCTCCTCCTCCTCCCTGCCCCGGGGCGGGCTCCTCCGCGCCCTGTCCCGTCGGCCTTCCCCGCTGCTCCGCCGCCCCGCTGTCGGTCCACCTGCAGCCATGCTGGACGTGCGTGTCCCGAGCAGAGCGGCCTTTGCCTCTCGACAAATCTCGCGGGGACCCCGCGAGGGCGCCGGCGAGTGTCCCGGATTCCTGGGGCGCGATCCCTCGCACGAAGATCCACATCATTCAACACAGAGAGTTCGAGGGATTCGAGAGCATTCCAGTTTGTGCCCCTGAGCAAGGTTGCGGGTATAGAAACAATGTGTTAGGTGTGACTGCGTGTATATACGTTTACAAATACACACATACCTACATGTGCATATATACACCCATGTCTCTTTCGCGTAGATGTCTATTCCCTCTATGCCGTATCTGTCTCTGCTTCACTCTCGCCGTCGTTGGCCTATCGCTGCGCACGCTGCCTGAGCCTCAACTGTTGTGGCGCTTATGCGTGTTATGTCCCTCCTCCTTATGCTACTTCCGCAGTCGTCAATGTTTGTTTTCTCAGGTGTTGCCACCCCTGGACGGCACGGTCGCCAGGCTGTCGGGCCAGCGCGCGCAAGAAGTTTTTGCTATGACACGTGACGATGGTCATGCTGTAAGCAGGAGCGCATGAATTATAGAGCAATGAACAATGTTCATACGGTTTTGGTTTTGCGATGGTCACATGGCGAGAGAGGAGACGAGCGGGAAGAGAAGTGAAGCATCAGAGGAACTCCCGCCGCAGAGTAGAGATCCTATTCGTGGGCTTCGTCAGGCAAACTTGCATCCTTTGTTGGCACTTCTGCATCCTCCACAGGCTTCCCATCCTTCATCCGCTCCTCCCGTGGGAGAGATGGGGCGCCCTCCAGGGCCCAGCATCCTTGCACTCGCTCACACTGCCGAACCTGACCGTAGACGCCGCCAGCGGCGCGACGAAATGACGTGGCGGTTGCATCACGGTCCAGCATCGCACGGCGTAAGAGGAAATCGGCGTGCAGGTCGTCTTGCCAGTGCAGCATTGTGGGTCTACCCCCAGCTAGGCACTCGAAGCCGGCCGAAATGATCAAGAGACCAAGTCATGGAGTCCAGAAGCTCTTTGCCCGCAGGATTGTCTCCGTACCTTAGATCCTTCTAGTGGTGCGCTTGCAGCACGACGTAGTGTTCACGGATCTTTCATGTCTGGCCCTCTCAGGATGTCACGGGCTCCAGTGTTGTGGGTGAGGGACAGCCGGCACGGTTAATACCCCTAGTGTGTTGATTTGCAGTCGTCGGAGTTGACATGAAGTTGACCGCGCCCGTATTTTGTGGTGATGCACCACTCTTTCTTCGTCGGCCAAGCATCCAGCACTCGAATCCATACCAGCGTTGGTTTCAAATGTGCTCGCGCACGCAAGTTACACGTTTTCCATCAGTGCGGCCACGATTGCCTGCGCCTTTGCGCCATGGAGGAAGTGGGCAAGTTTGCGCTCCTTGTGGTGATGTGATTCGCCACCCACCAAACCACCCCAACCCAACCAGAAGGCCGCAGTTTTCCCTCCATTTCCAATGAGGGGGGGTCGGGGAACATCCAAAACCCACATATGGAACCTGTACCCCCCCCAACCCGAAGTTCGGGTCTTCGGGCTGGGTTGGGGTGGTCTGGTGGGTAGGCAGTGATTGGCATGTGTGCGTTGGCAGGCTTATACGCACCCCCGTGCTCGTGGTGGATCCGCCCACTGGGGTCGTCTATAGCTTCCTTCGGAAGATCTCGACCGCGCCCTTCAAGATGCTGGCGTACGCGGAGGACCGGCATGTGTCTGAAGACGTGACTGGCCGTTGGAAGGGGTTTTGCGCAGAGGAGGAGGAGGAGGAGTCTATTTCTAATGAAGTCGCATGGGAGTATCTGTGGTGCTGCTCCTTCCGGAACTTCCAGACCCCACCTCGAACACCCAACGACGCCACCATCAAGGAGGCCCAGAAGGTTCAAGAAGCTTCCTGGGCCCACTGTTTCTCTCCTCCCCGCCTACCGCCTACCGCGAGTCTGGAGGCTTCTTGATTGCATTGGGCAAAGTTCCTTTGTTTGTCCTTCCCCTAATTGTCCTTGATTGATTGTCCTTCCCCTAATCATCATCGTCCTTCCCCCCTCCTCTCTCACTTCCTCCCTCTCCTTTCACTCCCTCATTCTCATTCCCTCCTCCTTCTGTTCTACGGTCGGACCGAGGTAGAAGATCGAGGTCGGTTCGGGGAGGGTACTCTAATGTTATTCGTGTTTGTTGGATGTCATTGTGCATCCCGGATGGTTTGGCCTGTTCTGGCCGGCGGAGGGCTTCCTGTTCTTGCAGGCTGCTTTTTTCCGTCGCAGGTCCGACTGCACCTTTGTTCTCCATTCGTTGTATGAGTAGACAGCGTTGGGACATACAGTCGGGGCGCCGAAGAAGGAACCCTTTTCGTTGGGGCGGGGCTCCGCGTTCCTCAAGTGTGTCACGGCTTGCCTCAGGCTTTCCCCACATGTGTTCGATAGGACATCGACGTTTAACTTTTGGAAAAAAGGGGACTCGTTCCTTATTTATCAGGAGGGAAAGAAACACACAGACACAATTAATCGGCGATTCCCCAGAACATCTGGGAAAATATGGGCAGTGGGGGGGAAGACAGAAACCCAGAAGATATGGGAAAATATGGGGAATCGTTTTATTTGTGTGTATTTATTTGTGTGTCCCAGGGCCCCTTCAATTTAGGGTTCCCTGGGTCAACGCCCCGACTGTGTGCGTGTCCTCTGCTCCTCGCGTGCAGCTGCTGCACCCAGCCCTTGTGACGCTCCCTCCGCGCCCTCCTGCGGATGGGGCGGGAGGAGCCGGGGGTGCCCGTTCCGGCGACCGGGCACGGGATGTGAGCGTCGGGTTGTTCGGGCGTCCTCCTCTACGTACGGTCGGGGCCCTGAAGAAGGAATCCTTTTCGTTGGGGAGGGGCTCCGCGTTCCTTGAGTGTTCCACAGCTTGCCTCAGGTTTTTCTTGTGCCTTCGACAGGAAATCGAAGCTTCACTCATGGAAGAAAGGGGCCTCGATCCTTATTTAGGCTTCCTTAGGTCAACGCCCCGACTGTATCTCCCCCCACCTTCGCACGCAGCGTTCCGCAGAACGTCGCAAGACGCCCTGTGCTGCAGCCGTGCGCGTGCCCCCCTCGGGTCCAACGTTTTACCAACAAGGCGGCGGTGTCGGACCCTCTCGTCTCGGAAAGGGACGGCGCCTCTGCGTCCCTTCCTCCGTCGTCTCCCCTCCCTGGGCAGTCGAAGGCCAGACTGTCAGGTTGGATCGGGCCCCCAGGGGCCGATCTGGCCTGACCAAGCTGGAGGGTTGGGGCTCTTCGCCAGGCTGGATTCGCGCTGGCTCCCTCGTCAGACTGCCCCCGTTTGCCAGATTGGGCCTGCCAGATAGGCTCCGACTGCCCAGCCTCCTCCTCCCTCCCCTGCGGTCCTCTGCCCTTCGCCTCAGTCCACCAGTGCGGCACACCCCTCACCGCGTGCCGTGGCCCCTCCGGGAGGTCCAACGGAGGCCCCAGCGGCGGTGTCCACATGCGTCCCCACCACCAATCTCGGCACAGCCCTCGCAAGGGTCGTAGCCCACATAGGGAGCTCCTCCCTCCTCCCTCCCCCCTCCTCCCTCCTCACGGAATGCCCCGATGGCGGTGTGTACATGCGTCCCCGCTGACCTTTCGCATACCTCTCGTACGATCCGCAGCCCTGCAGGGAGTTCCACCGAAGGCCCCTTGTGGCGGTGTCCACCTGCGTCCCCGCCGCCCCTTTCGGCGCACCCGTCTCACGTCTCGTGACCCCGGGGTGGGAGCTCCACCGACGGCCTCACACCATTCCTCCGCAACCGTCACACGTTTCATGGCCCCGCAGGGAACTCTACCCTCCTCCCTCCTCCTCCTCCTCCTCCTCCTCCCTCCCTCCTCCTCCTCCTCTTCCTCCTCCTCCTCCTCCTCCTCCCTCCCTCCCTCCCTCCTCCTCATGCGTCCCCGCCAAGCATGTCGTCACGCCCTCACGCGTTCCGTGGCCCCACGGTGAGCTCCACCGCAGACCCCAGAGGCGACGCTCGCGCGCGCGTTCCCCCCGCCCAGTACATCGTCACGTGGCCCCCCAAGGAGCGCTACCGAAGGCCACAATGGCGGTATTCGCATGCGCTTCCCTCACTCAGTCTGTTTCGTGGCCCCACAGGGAGCCCAACCGAAGGTTCCAGAGGCAGTGCTCGCATGCGCTTCTATCACCCAGTACACTGAAGGCCCCAGGGCCAACGCCCGCACGCTTTTCGCCTACCCAGTACAGCGCTTTCGTGGCCCCATAAGGGCGCTCCTCCAGATGCGCCCAGAGGCCAGAGGCGACGCTCGAAGAATAATGATAATAATAATAATAGTGATAGCGGATGGGTCGGCACGCCGGTTTTTCCCAGTGCTTAGGAAGATTACTTCGGCCACGGCGTAAGGCTGGAGGACCCCCCCCCCAAAAAAAATAATAATAATGGTACGAAGGAGAATGAACACAAGAAGAAGAAGAAGAAGAAGAAGAAGATGAAGAAGAAGAGGAGGAGGAGGAGGAGGAGGAGGAGGAGGGAGGAGACAGCAGGGAGGATGGAGCAGGGAGGAGGGAGGGAGGGAGGGAGGGACGGAGGGAGGAGGAGCAGGAGGAGGCGGAGGAGGAGGATGGGGGAGGAGGAGGGAGGAGGTGGGAGGGACGGAGGTGGGGATCGAGGAAGGGAGGGAGGGAGGGAGGGAGGGCGGAGGAGGAGGAGGAGGAGGAGGAGGAGGAGGAGGAAGAGGCAGGGGCGGGGGGCGGGGGGGGGGGCTCTGAGCCCCCCCGCCCGACTTTTGGAAGGGGGGCGGGTATCGGGGGCGAGGCGCGGCTGCGAAGTCTTGCACGGGAGGGGCGGGGGCGGTTATCGGCATAGGAACGCGGGGATGTCCGAGGGGAGGGGGGCGGTTCCAGAGCGGTGGGGGGGGGATTTGGCACCATCGATGCGTACACGGAAGACGCTTGCTCCCATCTCGCTTCCCCCCCTTGCTACCCCCCCCCCTTTCGCCCAGCCCGCTTTTCATGACCCACGCCGCGGAAGGCGCCCTGTCCACGGGCGGCCCGAGCGGCGTGCCCCGCCGGCGGTGGCGCGGCAGACCGTGGACAACGACCGGCACGGTTCTTCGGTCGTTACCGCATACGTCGGGCAGCAAATACAGGCTCAAGTCGGGCACGTCCTTCTACAGGGGGAATATTCAAAACTAGTGAAAAATGGTCAGGGGGATATTGTGTTTTTGATGTTTTTTGGCCATGTGGGAGTTTTTTGGGGGTATTTTTTTTTTATTTTTCGTCCAAAATCCGCCTGTAGGGGGACAGGCCCGACTTAAATATAGACATACCCGTCGGTCGTTGAAAGTACGTGCACGGTAATCGAGTAATTTCTTTTCCCTCCGGGGGCGTCGTGCACATTATTTGTGGCCACTTGGCCGTAGGTATTGTTGGATTCTCAGGTTCCACTCCAATCTGCTTTCAGCGCCTTTCTGCTTCAGCGATCGAGTGGCTTCGCCCTCTCCGTCCTCTTCAGGGGGCGCGCGGAAGCCCAACCTACTTTCATCGCCTTCCTACTTCATGCTCCTACCCACTTCTTCCGACCCGTGGGCAAAGATCAAACTTCGCGGCAGCCCCTAGACAACGGCCGCCACAAGCTTTAGGCGTTACTCCAGATCCCATATTAATCGTCCCCCGGGTCCAGTTGTTTAAGGCGCCTTTTTCTGTTCCTGGGGGGGTCGGGTTCATTAGGGCGCTTTCTTTGGATTGGAGCTTGGAGGGTCCGGTTTATCAAGGCGCCCCGCCGAAGAGAGGGGTTTGGGAGAATAGGTCGCACTTGGAGGTGGGTCTGGTTTTTTTTCCACATCCTGAGTGGGGTTCATGTTTTCCTGGACCACCCTCTCCTTCTCCTTCTCCTTCTCATCCTTCTCCGCTTCCTTCACCTATACCAAACCAGACCTGCCATACCCTACCAATACCATACGTACTACACGACTACGTATTATAATATACCATACCCTACCATACCGCACGTACAGTCTTACAACATACTTGCCATACCATACTTATCGTATTACCTGCAATCCCATACCATACCATACGTAATATAACATACCATACCTGCCAAAGCCATACCAGTTATCAGGTTTCGTGCCCCTCACGCCCCTCCAGGGAGGCTCCGTCTGAGCGAGGAGTGTATCCCCAAACCATCATATTTACAAGGTGTCGTGCCCATCCCAACCCTCTAGACAGGCCCCGCCTGAGCGAGGAGGGTATCCCCAAGCCATACTATTCGTGAGGTTCCGTGCCCCTTCCCACCCCTCAGGCAGGCCCCGCCTGAGTGAGGAGGGTATCCCAAAACCATACTATTTACAAGGTTTGGTGCCCCTCCCACCCCTCCAGGGAGGCCTCGCCTGAGCGAAGATGGTATGCCAACACCATACTGTTTACAAGGTTTCGTGCCCCTCCCACCCCTCCAGGGAGGCCCCGCCCGAGCGAGGATGGTATTCCAAAACTAAAGTATTTACAAGGTTTCGCGCCCCTTCCCACCCCTCCAGGGAGGCCCCGCCCGAAAAGGTTTGGTGCTACTCCCACCTCTCCAGGGAGGCTCCGCCTGAGCGAGGAGGGCATCCCACAGCCATACTATGTATAAGGTTCCGTGCCCCTTTCCAGCCCTCCAGGCAGGCCCCGCCTGAGCGAGGAGGGCATCTCAGAACCGTACTATTTGCAAGGTTTGGTGCCCCTCCCACCCCTCCAGGGAGGCCTCGCC